CCTCCCTCCTGACAGGCAGGGTCGCTGATTTCGTGCCAATTCCTGGGGGGGGGGCCTTCCCCCTCTGAACCCAGACTGGTCCAGAAGCAGTAAAGCCCCTCTTAATAAACTTCATAAAAGCAGAGGAAAACAGGGAAGAACCTCCAACGAACGGTTAGGAGGAAGAACTAACCAGACCATCGTGCTAAAGGTGCACGCGTAGCTATGAGACCATTTTCCAAGGAGAACACTCAGGAGCAGTGTTCCCTCTAAGCTGAGTTAGTGTGAGCTGCCTCACAGTTTTTTAGCCTCCGGCTAGCACAGTTTCGCCTTCGCTCAGGAAGGAGGGCTCCAGACCAAACTAATTTATGCAGGAGCCCAGTCGCTTGCTCACAACTTTAATGCCACCCTCAAGCAGCCACTCCCTTGGTTCTCAGGTGTGCTAATCAGCAAGACCAAGACTTTGGTGAACACTCTGGGTGCTGTTTTGAGACCAAAGGGGAGGGCCCTGTACTGAAACTGGATCCTGTTGTATGAAAAACACAGGGACTTCTGACGTGGCTCCCTGACTGGGATACGCTAATAGGCCTCTGAGAGATCTATTGAGGCCAGGAAATCTCCCTTCTGGATGGACGCTAGTGTGGACTTTAGGGTTTCCATCCTGAACTTCGTCTTTTTTTATCCGCCTGTTGGGACACTTTAGATCTAAAATGGCCCTCACATCCCTGGTTCTTTTTTTTTTTAGGACAATAAAAAAGGACTGAGTAAACCCCCAAGGATTTTTGGGACTCTGGCACAGGCTCTATGGCTCCTATGTCTAGGAGAAGTTGAATGGCCTTGAGAAGAAGATGGTGCTTTTGTGGGCAACAATTTCTTGGCACCTGGAGAAAGTTGTTTGGAGGAACCAAGCTCTATTGAGTATCCATTTGACACAGTATCTGGAACCCATCTGTCTCCTACAGTAGCCTCCCATCGATCCGCGAAAAATTGATGATGACCTCCTATCTCTGGCGGCTCTGAGTCCCTGATATAGTCATACTGAATGGTTCTTTTTCGGATTCTTTGGACTCAGACCTGGTGAACTTGAGAAGGAGGAATTATGTCCACTTGGATGTTCGGGCTGCCATCTCCCCATGAATTGTCTAGTAGGTGAACAAAAGCTTGGGGTGCGCTTAGATTCACAAAAGGAAGAGAAGCGCTTCTTGGTCTTACTGTCCTTTCTGCGGGACGGCAGCGACTTCTTTTTGTCCTTATGCTTATCCAAGAGGGAATTAGGTAAGCATATGGAGCAGAGGTCCATTGGTGGCTGTCAGCCACAAGGTATAGATAGGGACTCCGGGGCAAGTAATGCTCTGTATTGTTGGTGCTTGGGGGGGGGTCAATAGTGGGAGGGCTTCTAGTGTCCTGGCCCCACTGCTGGACCTCCTGAAGGCACCTGGCATTTTTGGCCACTGTGTGACAGAGTGTGGGACCGGATGGGCCATTGGCCTGATCCAACATTGGCTTCTTATGTTCTCAAACAGATATGCCGTTCCCAAATAGATGGACGTCTCTAAAGGGAACGCTCGCTACTTTGGCTTGGGATGAAGGGTCCAACTCCTAACTATGAAGCCAGGTATTCCTTCTGGCAGTTACACTGGAGGCTAATGCCCTGGCTGACAGTTGAATGGTGTCCAGTGAGGCATCTGGGAAGGAAGCAGCAGTCAGTGCTATTTTCTTTAGTTCATCCTTCAATTCTTTAGGGATGTTACTCTCTACCGCCAACAAGTCTGAAGCCCAAGAGAATATTGCTCTAGAAAATAGGGAACTAGCTGTGGATGCTCTGAGGGAGGCTGAAGAGGCCTCAAAGTTCTTACACAGGGCTAGCTCAATCCTCCTATTGGACGGAAGAAGAGGAGGAGGAGGAGATTGGATTTACACCCCGCCCTTCACTACCCAAAGGAGTCTCAGAGCGGCTTACAAACTCCTTTCCCTGGATAGACCGCCTGCCTCTGCTGGTAGGACTGAGTTGGAACACAGACTAGGTACTGGATCGTCCACCAGAGGGAGTTTACATTTTTCCGCCGCATCTGGTACTAAGGTGTAAAACTTGGAAATGATGGGGTGATTTGATTTGGGCCTGTTGCCTGATACGGAACTGGCGGGAAAGTGGCGGCTGAGCCTGCCAGGAGACTTAATGGAGTCCCAAATACTGGAAGTAGCTTGGAAAATGGCATCTCTGATTTTCCTCTGCATCTCCCCTCTAATCCAGCTCAGGAACTGCTCTCAGCAGCTTCCCCTGTTAAGTCCAGAGTCAGGGCTTCTGCTGGATCATGCCCTCCTTGGGAACCCTGTGCTGGAAGCTGGGAGGTCGAGGCTTGATGCTTGATGCCAGCCAGTTTGGTGTAGTGGTTAAGAGCGTGGACTCTAATCGGGGAGAACCCGGTTTGATTCCCCACTCCTCCACATGCAGCTGGTGGGTGACCTTGGGCAAGCCACAGTTCTCTCAGAGCTGTTCTCTGAAAAGCAGTTCTCGGTCAGAGCTTTCTCAGCCCCACCTACCTCACAGGGTGTCTGTTCTGGGGAGAGGAAGGGAAAGGAGACTGTAAGCCGCTCTGAGACTCCAAGTGAAGGGCGGGGTATAAATCCTGTCTCCTCCTCCTCTTCTTCCTGTCCTGACTCTGCGAGGCCCACCCTTGCCACCCTTGCCCACCTAGAAACTGCTTGTCCCATAATCCCGGAGGGGAAGATCTTCCTTCCCAGCATCTCGAGTCTTCTGCCCTCTTCATCGAGAAAGGATCAACGACTTCCAGCTCTTCCCTTGGCTGATAAGACTTCTGAGACTATGGCGTTTGCTTGAGGGTGGCGAAACAAGTAGTCACAGCCTCCCTCCCTGGTCCTCTAGAGGTTTTCCAGCTTCTCTGACAATGCTGATGCCAAGGCCGGTTCAGCCTAGATGGCTGAAGCCATGTTCTGTATCCCTTGCAACAGTGGGAGCGCCACAGGGCCCAAGTCAGGGCTGTACAAAACCTTCATTATAGGGTCAGGCGGTTGCAGCTCTGAGGCATTAAACGCTAGACTCAGGGCTTTCGCCATTCAGATCAACTGCTACAAATACATCTTAAGGTCCTCTGTTGGGGAGGGAACTGATGGGTCAGCGACTGTATCTTCTGGAGATGGCGCTGAACTGCTCTCTGAGCCGGCTTCTGAAATTTGGTAGAGTGCATCCTTAGAATTGGAAATAGGGGGGGGGGAACCCACGTCAGACTGGTATTGGTGGTGGTGGTCCTGTCTGGATCTCGTGGAAGATTTTACAGGTTGCCATGGGTATGGAGCCTGTGGGGGTGCCCACTGTGGTGGCATCATGAATGGAAATGGGCCCCATGGGTTTTGCTGAGATGGCCACTGATTTGGTGGCTGTGGATCTGGTAGCCCTTTGTCTTGTGATGCGGGTGGGCCCTTGGGAGGCACCTAGAAAACCTTGTCTTCTGAGGAATCTGGGGATACCCTTCTTGATGACAAGGGCATCCTTGGATGCAAAAATCGAACCCCAATGGCGAATTGTGGTGCCGGGGGGGACTTTGAAGATTGTCAGTGTTGATGCTCGGCTCCATGTTTGGCTCTCTTTTTAGCCTTTTTTGGAGGCGGTTCCAAATCCAATCTCAGGGCAGAGACAAAGATATTGGTGCCAAACTCACAAAATGGCCCTCACACCCTTATCCACTTGGACCCATTTTTTCCCATGGGGCTCCTGGGCTCCCAGAGCCAGTTTGGTGTAGAGGTTAGGAGCATGGACTCTAATCTGGGAGAAGCGGGTTTGATTCCCCACTCCTCCGCATGCAGCTGCTGGTGTGACTTTGGGTCAGTCACAAGTTCTCTCAGAGCTGTTCTCTCAAGGGCAGTTCTCGAGAGAGCTCTCTCAGTCCCATCTACATCACAGGGTGTCTGTTGTGGGGAGGGGAAGGGAAAAGAGATTGTAAGCTGCTCTGAGACTCCTTCAGGTAGTGAAGGGTGGGGGATAAATCCAATCTTTTCTTCTTCTTCTTTCCCCAAAGTGCGGCGTAAAGTCTTACTGCTCTCCCCTCGTGTGCCTTAGGAGTAAGGTGTCTACAAGCTGGGCACATGGCTGTATCGTGGCCCTCTCCCAGACATAGAAGCATGAGGAATGATAATCATTTGGGGCCATTTTCACTCCGCACTCTCCCCACTTCTTAAATAGAGCCACCCTACCGATTTGTAGGTGAAAGTTGTTTTATTCCTGAGGCCCCATGAAGCGGCAGCTTAGAAGCATGTCCTCTCCTCACGGCAGCAAGAAGAGAACTGAAGGAAAGATTTTTTCCCCCGCCTCTGTCACGTGACCCTTTGGGCGGGAAAAGGGACCTCTATTGACAGAGGAGAAGGGGAGCAGTCCAGAGCCTAGAAGCTTCTTCAGAAAAGCTTGGAAGCTTTTCTCCACGGCTGGCCTACAGTCATGCAGTCCCACGTGTGCCTGCACAGAAGCCACAACAGTGAACATGAGTCGCACAGCTGACTAAAATTTCTGACACTGAACATGATCCAGTCCCCAGAAACAACACAGATTACCTTGTGGGCAAAGCCTCTGAAGAAGGCAGGAGTCTGCTCGGCAATGAAAACACACTGCCAAAAGGGCCTGACGCGGCCCATCTAGGGAGAACCTTCCCCAGTACGAGTGCCATTATGGAAAGCCTGGTTTCCTTACAGGGCTTACTTGGGTAAAAAACAAGAAACAGAGCAGGGCCTTCCCAAAGACTGAAGAGCAGGAAGAGGTGTGCACAAGAGAAGTTGGTCCTTCAAGAAGCGTCTTCTGGCCTCTGCTACAGAGTGACAGTATTCGGCAGACTGACCCACCCTCTGTCATCTTTAACCCTGCTTCATCCTGGAGACTTTGCCCACTAGCCAGCCATGGGCACGTACCCAGAGGAGTAACTGCTGCCTGGCCATATCCAGCCAAGGAGCATCCATGAGCAGTGAGAACAATAACAAGCAGGGTACTGAAATGGCTGTGAAGGGTAACTTCCTACCTTTGTGTTTTTCTTCGGCCAGGATACCACCGGGACCCCAGAAACGGCAAGGTTTTGGTCATCGTCTGCGTGTTCTTTCAGGATATTCTGTTTCAAAATGAAAACAGGCACGTCAGTTTGAAACACCTGCCGTGGATACAGCAGAGAGCAAAACATCGAGCATGAGGCTAACTGGACGGCCTGTCCTGCAAAAGAGAAGAGTGTTATTTCTGCCACGCATTGGAAAGCCAGAGATAAAATCTGTGAACCTCTGCAGGCTTCCTCTTGGTATTCCCATCTGGCAAGTGAGGAATGAAGATCAGCTAGGGAGCTTCCACGGATGATGTAAGGTGGACCTTTTTACACAACAACTTTCTCTTTTAAATCTGTGAAACTGACGTTTTCATTTGAAACACCGGTTCCCAGAAAAATGCAGTTACTTAACTGGAGTGATCCAGATGGGTGGCTTAATATTCCTCTGTTCCTGCCAAAGGTGTAAAGTGGGGCCCGTAAAACATGGGAAAGTTGGGAGCAAATAAGTTTAAAGTACTTTAAGAAATCAGCTTCTGCTTTCTAAGTTACTGTGGTAAGAGCTGTCATGAGTCCTGGACTGAATAGGGATCTGAACTCAGGAAGAACCGGGGCTGTTCATTAATCACGGTGATTCATTGTGTTATAGAAGAAGAAGAAGAGGAGATTGGATTTATACCCCGCCCTTCACTACCCGAAGGAGTCTCAGAGCAGCTTACAATCGCCTTTCCCTTCCCCTCCCCACAACAGACACCCTGTGATGTAGGCGGGGATGAGAGAGCTATTTCGAGGACTGCCCTTGAGAGAACAGCTCTGAGAGAACTTGTGACTGATCCAAGGCCATACCAGCAGCTGCACATGGAGGAGTGCGGAATCAAAACCGGTTCTCCCAGATTAGACTCCGCGCTCCTAAACACTACACCAAATCCCTGTGCTCTTTGGTGTGCGCAAGTCAGCATCTGTGCCTTCAGTCACTGGTGGATTTAAGCCACAGACCTTCCACGTTTTGCCTTGTCCTGCCCTGTCCCCCCCCCCCGTCAGTGGCCCTTGTCTATTTCTGTTCCTGAATAACATACACTTATTTATTTTGTTCAGTTTATATCCCACCCTCCCCGCGAGCAAGCACAGGGTGGCTTATGAAGTTTGCCACGATCCATACATGCAGCACAATGCGGTAGAAGGGACCGCATCATTTCCGACTACTCGTGGCTGGGTGGGGTCCTATTTTTGAATGCTTCCTTGTGCAAAAAACGAAAATCCCTGGACACGGAAAAGGAGCACAACGAGGAGTGCACTGGAATCCCCCCCCCGTTTTCTAGTTATAAGGAGACACCTCGTAGGTGGGGCAGCATTCAAAATGGCATCCCCCTGCCTGTAGCGGGACAGTCCATACCGCCCACCAATGCTCCCTCTAAGCTGTGGAGTCTTGTGAGCAAAAATTCTGTTTTGTGAGCTACTGGCATTAAAGTTGTGAGCGAGCGATTTGGCTACGGCATAAATTAATTTGCTCTGGACCCCTCCTTCCTGAGCAGAGACAAAATTGGTGAGCTAACGCACACTAACTCAGCTTAGAGGGAACATTGCCGCCCACCTCATTTTGCTGCAGGGGAAACCCAGCCCTTATCCGTGCAGTCAGGCACCTCCACAGGCTGCTCGCACACTCTCTTCCTTGTTCTGTTTCCACTCCGTTTCCCTGACCCTGCAGGCTTCTCCTGGCCCCTTAGCCCTGCTGCCGGTTCTCCGCCACACATTCTCCTTGTCAGCACTGCTTTTTAGGAACTGACTCCAGCCTGTGTGGTGTATCAGGGGTCATTTTGTAGAAAAAGAGATGCAGGAGTTCATTAGCATAACTCATTAACATAACTTATTTGCATATGCCACACCCCCTGACATCACCGGAAGTGTGTCAGAAGGCAACACCCACTGCTCAGGCTCCACTGGACTGTTTTGGATTGCTAGCTATTGGGGGGGGGGACGTGCAGATCTGTCCTCGCAGAGGAGCTTGTACCTGTCAGAACCCACAGCCAACAATGAAGTACACGCATTCAAGAACGGTAATACTTTTATTGCAGAGCTATAGATGCAGTAACATAAGTACTGTTAAGAATGGCAGCGGCCCCATGGGCATAATAGGATATAGGGTATTCGTATGCACCCCCCCCCCAGCACTGGCCAATTAGGCACCCTCCCGTGCGTGGGATAAAGCTTGGAGACCGTTAGGTAGCTAAAGCTGAGAACCAACACTCTCCCACGGCACCTAGGAAAAACCCAGACAATACAACTCCCTCCTGCACATCTGTATAGATAAGCATTTTGGCGCAAAGCAGAAAAAGCACAGAAAGGAATGCAGTAGCAATTAACCAAAGACCGAGCTCCCCAACCTTCATGGCAGCATAGCTGACAGTACCTGAATAAAACTTAGTCTTAAAGGTGTCACTGGACTGTTTTGGACCGGGGGGCCGGGGGAAGCTCTGCAGCCTACCTGGCTGCTTCTTGCTCTGACTGAGGGCTGCTGGGAGCAGGGGGTGGGGCTTGTTGCATGTGCCCGCCCCCTGGGCTCTTTACTGCTGGAACTCCGCTCCTGTTCTCTCCTGCAGGAAATGACCCCTGGGTGTAGTGATTAAGAGTGTCAGGCTAGTATCTGGGAGACCCCTGTTCGAATCCTCACTTGTGCCATGGAAGCTTCCTGGGTGACCTTGGGACAGTCATACCCTCTCAGCCTAACCTTCCCCATGTGGTTGTTGTGAGGATAAAATGGAGGCGAGGGGAATGATGTAAGCTGCTCTGGGTCCCAACTGGGAAGAAAGGAGGAGAGAGTTTTGGAACAGAAGTCCTGGAATGTGTGACTGTTCTTCTTTTAAATCTTCTTTTTATCAATAGCAGAGGCCAGACCAAGGGGAGGAAGAGGAGAGAGGCCGATGCTCACATAAAAAGCAGGCTCTGTAATTACGCCCCCCACGCTCCCATCTGCGGCAACCGACATTGATGTTCTTCTGGGAGAAACAGGACATGGGTAATTAAACAGACAAGAGAGACTATTTCATTTGGCAAAGCTGGGTTTCACCAGGAAGGGCGCACTTCACGCGCACGTCGAATCCACACTTCCTCATCTATGTGGCAAGTAGCTGCGATCGAGACAAACGTAGCCGAATCAGCTTTGTGAACGGCCCCCTTCCTCTTCCAGGCAAGTGGGGAAATCCCTTTGACAGGAAGCTGTTCATTTTCCTGATGAGATGAGCAATGGAAAGTAAAAACCCTCATTTCCCAGGCATACCCAGAGCTCCTAAATCAAACCGAAAGTGCTGAGCAGAAACTCATAGAGATATTTCACCGAGTGTAATTTAAATATTTAGGAGGAGGGGGAGTGCTGAACACAGCAGGGTCCCCGGAGAGGACTGTAATACCCGCATGAGGGAAACGGCTCATTTGACAAAGCCTTAAGCCCTCCTGGCCAAATCCTCCAGGCACAGCGAACAACTAACGAGATGGCTCCCTTGTCCCTGATGCATAATGCCGCAACGGGGTGTGTGTGTGTTGTGACCCATATTTCCTACTCTTGGTACCAGCATCACAGCTAGCGGGTTGGCAAGACGGACACCCCGGTTAGGTTTGTGCGGCCCAGATCAGCTAATCAAACTGTGCTAAGGACTCTTTCTCCACAGTGTTTATACAGTCCACGTGTATTCCACATGACGGTAGTATTTGGCAGGGGGGATACTTTCAAGAATGACCTTTTCCCCGTCCCTTGTGAGATCTGATGTGGTAATGCCCTGCAATAGGACTGAGCAAAAGGAAATGGCTTTGAAGGTGGATCTGAGTCCCAAGGGGTTGTCGCTCCAGGGCCAAACTCCTGCCCTCTCCTCTCCCCATTCAGGTCTCTGCGCTCTCCATTTAACAAGCCCTTTTGGCCAGCTACTCAGGACGGGGGAAGCAGGAGCAGGGTCTGCTACCCGAATGCAAGAAGCAAGCAAGGCTTGGGGACAATTTGGAGTGTATTAATGGTTCAGTAAAGGGAAGAGTTTGCCCTGATCTGGATGGCCCAGGTAAAACTGATCTTGTCAGATCTCTGAAGCTAAGAAGAAGAATCTTCTGGAAATTCTGTGGGTTGAAATAGGGGGCCCAAAAGGAAACTTAACACTGGGAGTTTGTTATCGCCCACCAGATCAAAAGATAGAGGAGGATTATAAAATGATGAATGAATTAAAGATAGCAGCTAGACAAAAAAAACTGTGTCATAATAGGTGATTTTAACTACCCACACATTGATTGGGTCAATATGTGTTCTAGTCGAGAAAAAGAGATTGAGTTTCTAGACACTCTAAATGACTGTGCTATGGAGCAGATGGTCACGGAACCTGCCAGGGGAGTGGCAATCCTTGATTTGGTCCTAAGTAACACTCAAGACCTGGTGAGTGATGTAAAAGTGATTGCACTGCTTGGGAACAGTGATCATAATGTTATTGAGTTCAACATTTGTATAAATAGGGAGTTGGCCAAAAAGACTTACACAACCACTTAAAGGGGTAACTTCTCTGATATGAGGGGACATGTGGGAAGGAAACTGAAAGGAAAAGTAGAAAGGCTCAAAACCATTGGGGAAGCTTGGAAACTATTTAAAACTATGATCCTAGAAGCTCAGAAAAATATATTCTGCCGGTTAGGAAAGGCACAAATAGGTATAGGAAAAAGCCCGCATGGTTAACAAACAAAGTAATGGAAGCTGTAAAAGGTAAAAAGGATTTCTTTAAGCAGTGGAAAGTCACAGTGAGGCTGATAAAACGGAACACAGGCTATGGCAAATAAAATGCAAGTCTGTGGTCAGGCAGGCAAAAAGGGAATATGAGGAGCATATAGGACAAGTCCATATAGGACAAGTCCTTTTATGGATCAAAAACTGGCTAATTCATAGAAAACAGAGTGAGTACAAATGGGCAATTTTCTCAGTGGAGGGAACACTGGAGAAAAGTACCTCTTTCTCTACCTGCTTTATCCCATGCATTTTTTCTCTCTTTGAGGCTTTGATAAAGGCAGTAAAACCTATCAGAAGTAAAATGGTTGTTGTTGTTTTTTTTAAAAAAGCACTTTCAGGGAGAGGGGAGTCCACGTGGAGCGTATCACACCCCCTTCCCATATGCAGCCAACCCTAGTTTACACGCTTCCCCATCGAGATCAGGGCCCTGCGGGATCTTACTCAGTTCCGCAAGGCCTGCAAGACAGAGCTGTTCTGCCAGGTTTTTGGTTGCGGCAGCGGGCGTCCACATATGGCCTCCCCGAGGTTGCTGTCTCCCACCTACCAGCCATCCATCGGTAACCAGCCATATCCATCTGTATTCAGAGGTCAGAACTTTCACCAGTAGCTATAACTACTGATTTTAAATGTTTATACTGTGCTTTTAAGCTTTATTGTAATTGTTGAAAGATGATGTGACCCGCCCTGAGCCCGCTTGCAGGATGGGCAGGATACAAATATGAAAAATACATACATGCGGCAATTCAGCATTAGGCCTCATTCTGCCGCCCAGGTCTGCTGCTATACCATCTCAGCCCCCCTCAGTGTGGTTTGACGGCTGCCTAAGTGACAGCCATAAAGGTAGAAAGGGAGCAGAAATTTGGGCTCCATTTAAAAGAGAAAGCGGAACGAGCCATCTACATACCTTCATGTCCTCTAGCAAAGCCTGAGGATCTTCGATGCCTTCCGGGATGCATTTCTTATTCTCTGGGAGGGATTCAAGTTTTTCAACGAGGGCTTTCAACCCTTTCAGTTCAAACTCTGTAAGGTGAGTCCATTTGGCTGAGACCTCTGTGGCTGGCGACCCCGTGGGCGTTTTGGGATACTCTGCTGGCGTTGACTTTACACTCTCATCCGACTCATTGGACAAAGTTCTTTTGAGGTACCTGGTGGCAGTGGATTTCTGCTTCTTTCCCAAAATCTCCTTCCCTTCCGAATGTGTGCTGTTGGGAGAGGAGGAACCATCAGCTGAGGGCTTAGGGGTTTTATCCAAGTTCTCATCCTTCTCTTCCCGAGCACGAGCATCACACAATTCTTCATCCATGTCTACCCAAGAATCCGAGGAGAAGCTATCTAAGCTGCGTTTCCTTGTTGCATCTAGAAGACACAAGAAGAGGCTGGATTAAAACCCTCCCAAGGCTGGAACTCAGACGCACCTGCAATAAGCAGCCCAAGTACAGGACCAAAGTGAAGTCCCTGGACATGAAACGTCCACCACTGACCTCTTCAGCCTCACCTTACTTTCCCCATGTGCAGGAAATTCTTTTGCACTGGAGAACATTCAAACATGCAGTTCTCCCAACCAATCCATAACAGTAGTACATGCAAGTTGGCTGAATGTGCTAGGCTTATCATTACTAAAGATGCATATACATATGCCAATAAAGGCATCACTTAGTCGATGGTGAAAGCTGGCTAAGGCTGCACCCAGGGGTGGGGGGTGTCTGTCTGTGCACTGTACCTGAAGAGTGGCCAGAAGCAACAAGAATGGCGTGGCAGCATCCTTGGTCTGCATTCCACCCCATGTGCTCTTAGCTAGTCTGGGGGCCATAGTTCAGTGCTTTGCATCTCCAAGAACCCAGGTTCCATCTCTGATTGAAGAGCCACAGGACTGGCAAAGACCCCCCCCCCTCTTCCCAAGACAGCTCTTGCCAGTCAGAGTAGACAATACCAGGCTAGATGGTCCAACTGGCTATAAGGTGGCACGTGCATTCTGCAGCCCTGGCTTGCGACTCCCACTGCCAACTGATGCCTCTGGTAATGGCCAACCCTCTCCCACTACAAAATTCATCTGCAGCCTGAAGTGGTGGAGTCCGTGAAAAGCCTTGAATCAGCTGTGTGCAGAAGCTGGCTCATCGCTGCGCAAACTGAACACCTTCATACAAACTTGAGTTTTCTGAGAACTCAAAGAACATCAGAAGAGCCCTGCTGGATCAGAGCAGTGGTCCATCTAGTCCAGCATCCTTTCTCACACCGTGGCCAGCCACCAGTTCCTCTGGAGGGCCAGCAACAGGGCAGAGAAGCCAAGTTTATTACTCATAATATGGGATTAATTTTTTTAAAAGTTCTGGAATAACCTGAATATCCTGTTAAAGGTGATGAAGATATTGATCATAGTTCCAATACTTGATTCTGTATTCCACTAGTAATTAAATAATTAGTAAGAATATAATTTAGATTTAGATAAATAAGACAATATTAAGGATTTTACAGCGATTCATTTTTAGAATAGAAGTTTGTTCAATTGTTAAAGATGTAATTTCTTTTATCTGAGTCCACCATTTTTTCCAGAGGAACTGATCTCTGCTACCTAAAGAATAGTTGTAATTTTGAGTGATCTCCAGTCCTCACCTGGAGATTGACAACGATGGGTTCCCAGAAGGGAATAGTTGGTTTGGAGGGTGGAGTCTATGGCTTTGTACCTGTCCGAGGTCCCACGCCTCCTGAAACCTCACCCTCTCCAGGCTCCATCCCTCATATCTCCAGAAATTTCCCACCTGGAGTTGGTAACCCTATCTCTTTCCCAGCCAATCATCAACCTACCTTTATTTCCCCCTCACTCTTCAGCTTTCTACCCCCCACACACCTGCAGCCTCTCCCGTGCTCTGAAGCCCTGACTGCTACGTCACATTGGCTGTCATATGGGGGCCACCTCAGCAGCATATAAGGATACAGAGCCCACCATTTTCTCCAGGGGAACTGATCTCTGCCATCTGGAAAGCAGTTGTAATTCTGAGTGATCTCCAGCCCTCACCTGGAGATTGGACACATTTTACCTCAGAAGAGCAAACTGTTTAGAATGTTAGAGGCAAAAGCCAATCAAGTCGCATATGCAAACGACCTCTGTGTTCTGAGGCAGAGGCCAATGAGGCTGCATATGCAAATAACCTCTGTGTTCTGACTGGCTATGGGGGGGAGGGAGATTCTGAATGACACACCAGGGCGCCAACCAATTCCGGAGCATGTGGAATGTTCTAGAGAAGTGCCACCACCATTCGGCTTTTATAGATCTACCCATCTTGTGTCTAATTTTGTTATTGTACTTTACTGTTTTATATTATGTGTTTTTACTGTTTTAATTTTGGCACATTGTGCTCTTGTTAGCCGCCCTGAGCCTCAGGGGTAGGGCGGGATACAAATCTAAGGATAAATAAATAAGGGAGATATTTGGTAATATATCTGATTTTACTTGTTGTACGTATCAACATATTATTTGACAAACCTGATGAATTTATATTTCCCCCCCCACCCCCTTCTGTATCCCACCTTTTTTCTGAGAAAATAATAAAAATAATTTAAAAAATTTAAAAATGGCAGAGAGGCCGAAGCCTTCCTCTGATGAGAAGGTAAGAAGAGCCCTGCTGGATCAGCCCAGTGGGCCATCTAGTCCAGCATCCTGTCTCACACAGTGGCCAACCCGTTCCTCTGGAGGGCCAAAAAAACAGGGCATGGAGGCCGAGGCCTTCTTCCCCTGATGTTGCCTCCTGGCTCTGGGATTGAGAGGCTTAGTGCCTCTGAATGTGGAGGTTCCCCTCAGTCATTGTAACTAGTAGCCATTGACAGACTTATCGTCCATGAATCTCTCTCATCCCCTTTCAAATCCCCTGTCTTTGACAAAATTTGGATGTGTGTGTGTAAAACACAGGACTGCATCATCAGAAGGCTCCTTGTGCTGAAGTAAAGGGCCACTGTTCATGGAATGCATCCATAAGAACATAAGAGAAGCCAATGCTGGATAAGGCCAATGGCCCATCCAGTCCAACACTCTATGTCACACAGTGGCCAAAAATACCAGGTGCCATCAGGAGGTCCAGCAGGGGGGCCAAGACACTAGAAGCCCTCCCACTGTTGCCCCCCCCCCAAGCACCAAGAATACAGAGCATCCCTTGCCCCAGAACGAGAGTTCCTATCTATACCTTGCGGCTAAGAGCCACTGATGGACCTCTGCTCCAGATCTTGATCCAATTCCCTCTTGAAGCCACCCCTGCTTGTAGCCACCGCCACCTCCTGTGGCAGTGAATCCCATGTGTTAATCACTCTCTGGGTGAAGAAGGACTTCCTTTTATGTGTTCTAACCCGACTGCTCAGCAATTTCATGGAGTGCCCACGAGTTCTTGTACTGCGAGAAAGGGATGATATCCCAAGTCCCGTAATCTATGCCAGAGGCAGCCCCATAAACTTTCATCTGTTTTAGAAGGATAGAAATCCTGCCGGGCCCTGACCTGGATGGCCCAGGCTAGCCTGATCCTATCAGATCTAAAACGCTAAGCAGGGTCAGCTCTGGTCGGTACTTGGCCGGGAGACCACCAAGGAAGTCCAGGTTGCTACATGGAGGCAGGCAAGGGCAGACCACCTCTGAACGCCTCCTGCCTTGACCTCCGGGAGTCGCCCTAATCTTGCAGGAAGGCCTCCCTGCGTTTGTGTTTCATTTACCACCGAAAACCTTGAGAAATATAATGCCACAAGATGCCCGGTGCTTCAGTTAACGTGCCCGAGGTTCAGCCGGGCACCTGCTCCTCTAGCAAACGGCAAAATCATTTATTGCAGCCTTCACGGGCCTCCTCTTGGGGACGTGCAACCTGTTTTCGCAGGAGCCGGAGAGCGTGGGTGCCCTTACCGCTCTCCGCTCTGAACGTACGCTGCAAGAGAATCCCCGCTTACCAATTAACATTGATTCTCTCAGGTACTCTTTGCGGAGGTGGGAGCGCTGGGTCACGCAAGACACGTATCTCTCCAGAACATACCAGCACATCTCATAGTAGAAAGGGTAACGGAACTTGGCCTGCACCTGGAAGAGAGGCGGAAAGGCGGCGTCAGTTTGGCTGGGGTGGCGGGGAAGTTTGCAGCTCTCTGAGCCAGTTATCTTCTTATGGAGAGCACAAGGAGCCTTTGCTGGAGCGGGAAGGGGGGAAGGGAGGGCGGGAGCTGAGGGAGGCAGATGCCTCCAGCATGCAAAAGGAGCCGCTCTGCCTGCCTTCCACCAGAGAGCATCCTTTTCGTGGTTCACTAATTTTGCACCCTCCTGAGATGGTAAAAGGAGGGGATGAAAGCGAGGAATGGAATTCTCGCAAGAGGTTCTGTGCCCCTCCCACCCTTCTGGTACAAAAATAGGGGTGGTTACGTCTCTCACTGTCCAGGGAATCCATGTTAAACAGGAAGCGGGAGTGTCTTTAACATTATCAAGGAGTTACATTCCACGTACACACATCCCACCCGGCAAAGGCCCCCTAAACGAGGGGAAGAG